CCCCAAAACCCCAAAACCCCAAAACCCCATTAATATTTTGAAATCATTGTGGATATTCTAAATTAATATCAATGTAAAAGTATAAATGGTGAATTTTAAATATCTGCAAAGGATCATTGGTATAATTATTATCTCTATTCTTGACACTTGATGGTGTAAGATTGATATTTAGCTACTTTATTGGTTGGGATGCTATGATGTACAATTAATAGAATGATTTCCAACCCAAAGTCTAATGCAATTTAAATGAGGAGATAGGCTAGTAACTCATATCTCTACGATAAAGCAGACATCTTGACATAGAACGTTATGAACTTTAAGGAATTTAGTGCTGGATTATAATCTTATGGGCAATCTGATAAGGTCTGCTTTGAAGTTATGAAGTTAAGAGCAAGGGATGATTGGAGAGCTTATATAAAAAATGTGAACTTTGACGATCCTAGGTTCTATGAACACTATCAAAACTATAGTCATTCAAATTTTAAAAATATAAAAGAATACTATTTGCAATGTCTATAACCCACACAGCTATCAAATAAATTGATAATGATAAGAAATTAGATAGTCCTTATTCTACTAGTTCTCCTGATGAGTAATCTCTTGTGAAATGCTGCAGCATTCTTAGGTCATAGATTCATTGATACGATTTTCCCATTTTAGAAACAATATTCAAAATACAATCATTATCTAAAAACAAGATGATAAGGAAGTAACACTTAAAGTATTGCATACATTTAAATTTACCTCTGAGAGGGAAAAAATGTCTGTTATAGTTTAGGATGAGTAAAGCAATATAAACTTTATTGTAGGGGGGCGAGCTGATTCAGCCATCTTAAACAACTTAGCTAAGAAAGGTAACATTGATGAAGAAATAAAACCCACCTGCGATTATCTTAGATAATATGGTCAAAAGGGAATGAGTACATCGGTCTATGCTCGAAGAGACTGAGATTAATCAGAATATGATAAATGGAACTAAAAATATTTAAATATCAATCCTAGTATTAAGATCATTAGTTAGATAATTTGTAAAAAGAATTAGAAAATGACTTCATATTGTTAGGATCAACCGCCATTGAAGATGTTCTCTAAGATCTAGTAGTTAAAGACCTCAAAAGTGCAAATATAAAATTCTGGCTTTTAACTGGAGATAAAATAGAAACTGCTATTAGTGTGAGTTAAAGCTGTCATTTATTGAATATATAAAGAAAGCTATTTGTAATTGACAAGGAAAATTAAAAGGAGATTTATTAGTAAATAAAGGAAATTTAAGAATATTCTGACTCTAAACAATAAAATCATCAATACTCAATTGTTGTAACTGAAAATACCTAATATTTTTATTTATTCTTAGACTCATC